AAGTTCATATGGTTCAGGTGTTTAACAACAGGAAGTTCATATGTTCAAGTGTTTAACAACAGGAAGTTCATATGTTCAAGTGTTTAACAACAGGAAGTTCATATGGTTCAGGTGTTTAACAACAGGAAGTTTTAGGCAACTTTCAAATGAAAAGATCTGAATAAATAGTGAAAGAAGTTTTACCGATAGTTTTATTTGTCTGAGTTATTTTTTGTGTTTGAGGAGCAAAAGGTTCACCTGTAAACGTCGGTCCACATCTTAACTTTTGATCTGGAGGATCAACTGTAAAACACAAACAGAACCATGAAGCTCCAACAGAACTCCTCCAGAACAGATCCAAGACTGTAATGAACAAAACCGGTCTCACAAGTTCCACGAAACCAGGTCCTGAAGTTCTGAAGGAGCACTGCTCGTTTCCTTTTCCTCTTCCCTCCATCTTCCAAACCGTCAGGAACGCTGTAACACTTTCCTGTAAACAGACACACAACACACAATTACTCAACAACAAACACTCCTGTGTGGCATGGAGGCTGCACAGCTGCAGAAAGAAAAGCTCTGCAGAGAGTGGTGAAGGCTGCACAGAAGATGTTGGAGTCAGTCTCCCCACCATCACAGACATCTACACCTCTAGATGCAGGAAGAGGGCCACCTGCATCATGAAGGACCACACTCACCCAGCACACACACTTTTTGCCCCAATCCCCTCAGGAAGGAGGTTGAGGAGCATTACGTGTAGAACCACTAGACTGAGGAACAGCTTCTACCCTGAGGCTGTTAAGACTCATGAATCTCTAACTAGAAAAATCACTGTGAAAAACCACATCATGTTGCTGCTGATCTGTTTCATGTTGCTGCTGATCTGTTTCAATGTTGATGTGTTCATGCGTGCTCATCTGCTCACACAGACTCATGCTCATGTTCGTGCTGCTGTTCGAAGTAATGTTTTTATGCTACCAGTGCTTGGTGTATATTTAGTTGATGTTTTTCTTGGTTCATATCTTAGATGTCATTACTGTTTTTATTTTACATTTTATTGTTGGATGTAACTGGGACCCTGTGTACATAATGTCGCTCCACCACATGTACCACATGAGGTGCGAATGACAATAAAGAAACTCTGACTCCTGTGGAGAAACACAACACAGTACCATAATTATCACGACCATGCTCTTATGAGAGTTGTGTGTACTTTGGACCAGACTGACCCGGTTTAAAGGGTTTCTCTTCACCAGCAGTAGAGTACATATCGTGGAGTGCCCATGGGTTTACCTGAAACACAATCAACAAAGAATGTTCTTGTTTAATATAAAACCATCAGCGGATGATCATTTAATGTTAAACAAATGTGTCAAAGAAAAACCAGCTTAAAATACTTGCTGCCTTTGATAGGAAACAAAGAAATATTAAAAGGCAAAGTGAAAGATTTAAATATTAAACTTTATAAAATGTAAACTTTACATTTTAAATGAAATTGTATTAATATACAAAATAAAAAAAAGACAAATTGAGTTTCCTTAAGGACTTCATTTTTTGAAAGACTGTTTAAAATCTTTATTAAAATAAAATCTAATTTCTGAGATGAAACGTTTAAATCTTCTACCGTCTGTGAAACCTGATCCTGAGGTCTTCGGTTCTCTACCTGTCGCCGGGCCCGGATCACCTGAGCAGCACTCGGAGCCGTTTCAGCCTGAAACACAAACTGGTTTCAGACTGAATCACAAACTGGTTTCAGACTGAATCACAAACTGGTTTCAGCCAAAACACAAACTGGTTTCAGCCC